GCTGCCCACCGCTGCCATACCACACCTGGCCCACCGCTGCCCACCGCTGCCGTACCGCACCTTTTCAGGAAGGCAGGCAGCTCCTTCCACAGGCGATGCGACAGCTCCTCGCCCACTGCTGCGCTGATGTCCTTGGCTCGCTTCTGGCCGCTGTAGATACTCTAACAAACAAACAAGATCAATTTTAAATGCTGCCTGCTCCAAAAAGGCCAGGTTCACTGGTTAAAAAGGCTACAGAACCTTAACTGCGGTAACTGTGCTCAGCTCTCCTGCATCCCACCCTGGGACTGTGCCTGGGACTGTGCAGAACAGCTGTATTTATTTGGTGGGCTCAAGGCAATTTCGAACTCTATTTTCAAATGGGGGGAGAGGTGAAGAAGAAAGGAGCATTAAAGAAAGTCTATAAAATAGCAGACAAAGTGGTGAAAGTGACACTTGGGTTTTTTGCTTTTTTTGCTGAATGTCATATGATTGCATTAAAAAAAACCACAAATTAAGCACAACAACCTCAACATATGAAAGGTTTATTTTTTAAAAATAAACTCTACTAATCCTCTGCAGCCAGAGGATGGAGAATGTTAGGCATGGGGAAAGGACGTGAGCACTCAAAGCAGCTCTGCCCATGACAGTCTCCCCAGGAGCACGGAGGGCTGCAGCACCGCGCTGCTTCCTCGCTCAGCTAAACCCAGCTCTTGTCTCTCTGCTGCTACATCACCCAGCGCCTAAGGGCTTGGCATCGGCTCGGCGCGCAGAAGAGACTGCACAGGGGGAAATGAAGGCAGCTTTCTGGCTCATTTTGCTTATAGAGGAGTTTGTCTCCAGCATGTGGTAGACCAGGACCATGTCAGACCATGGGTTTGGGCTGCCCTGTACCGCCCACCTCTACTACTGCCCTACACAAGCGACTTGGCCTTTTGCTTTCCTGCATTGACCATCGTTGGTCTCAAATCCTGAATACATGCAGGATGCAATTGTTTATTTTTAATATATATCTGTATTACCTGGATAACAAATATTGCTAGTAGTTCACTCTGAAAATGCCCGTTTAGTTTCTCTGGTTCTTTGTCTTCTTTCCATCTTTGGATTTCTTTATCTAAACATTTGCTCAGTGAATTTTTGATAGTAGCCTTTAAGGAAGGAAGAACAACAGCATTTACCACAAAGTGGATGTAGCAACTCCTACATTATGGAGGTTTTACTCGCCCACCCACCATTTGTCTGGCTCAGCAGACTTGTTCCTCAGCCCTGACTGAGAAATAAAGGCTCTTTAATTCACAGCAGCAAGGACAACCCCCTCACAATATCCACCTATGCAACAGCGAGGTGAGTATTTCAGGGTAGGAATGAAGATCAAGATCTACGTCCCTGCCCACCACCCCGCCACGTCAGTGGTGTTCTGGAGGGCAGGGCAGGGGAGCGGTGGGTAGGAAGGTTGCAGGCAGCTGTGCGTGCCAGAGCCCAAATTTCCCCAGCCGCGTGTTGCCTGTGTGTCACACTCAGTGCTAGCCCTGGGCCTGGTTGTGCAATCCTTTTTCATGAGTGTTTCTGACGTCTTATGAGTGCTGGAGAGTGAAACAAAATGTTCTCAGGTTTTCTCTGCTCTGACCCCTCTTGTGTGCACACTGTGCAGCGAGGCTTTGGAAATGGTCTGTACAGTGGCTGGCATATATTTCTGATCTCCGAGTGCCTTGTTCATGCGTTTTGCAGCTCTCGCACCCACCTCTCCCATATGCAAACCATCACAGGCTGCAGCTAAACCTGGAACTTGTCTTCTCATTTGTCGGGAATTCCAGCCCCAAATGCCAAAAGTGCTAAGCTATGGGAGTACTGTAAAAGTCTCTTCTTGTTTCCATTAAGGCAAGAGTGATCCAAATACCAGAGCAACTGTTATTTTCTGCAGACCAGGCAATTCTCCATCAAAGAAACAGATTTTTCAAGACCAGACCTGCATGCTTTGCGCTCACCCAAGGTCTGGCACCACTGCAGGGACCAGAAGTAATCCTGAATCCATCAGCTGCGAGAGGGAGCATAAATCCTTCTAGGGATTTAGCAGACAACTGGAAAGTTACCCATAAAGATTTGTTGTTGGATTTTTCCCCACCTTCCTGCCACAAGGTTTGCAAGAACAGAGCAGTTCTTTTCTGATGGCTCCCAGAGCTAAGCAGAAATTTGCTGTTTTGCTCCCACCTAGCAGAAAGCTGACCTGTCCCCCAAAAAGAAACAAAACCATTCTTGCTTTTGCTTCTCTCTGGAAAGGTGGGTGGCTGACAGGTGAGAAGTGTGTGAGTAGGACAAGTCAGAGCTCCTCCAAGGAGTCATACGGGAGCAGTACAGGGAAGAGGAGGGACTGAACAGATTCTCACCTCTTCACTGTCAAGGTATTTCTTTTCAAGCTCTGTGCTCAGACTTGATGGCAAAAGGCTTCCAAGCTTAACTTTTTCCAACTCCTCGGCTAAAACATGATCTTTTCTCATATCTCTGGAATGAAAAAGCCAAACAATTACATTTTCCAAGGGCAGTGTAATTCAAGACAGCTGTTGATGCAAATCACTAACAATTTTGAGGCTATCAGTGAAAAAACAGATGGAAATGTACATTGTCCTTAGTCCAGGCAGGACTTAGAGGAGCTGAATCTGTGCCGGGGTGGGACTTGTGAGGGTGGGACCCCAAGCAACCCCGGAGAATGGAGTCATGTTCTGCTGAGCTCCTGAGCACCAGCCACTGCACGCTGGTGGGGATGGGGGACCTGAAGCAAGCATGAGGGTCTAGCCCCAGGACATGACCTCTCTCCATCACTATAGAGAGGTGATCCGATAAAGAGCTGGTGTTTTGTGGCTAGTTGGGAATGGAGAGGGCAGTTTCATACCCCACTGTCGTGTCCCCACCGTATGCTGGCTGAGCCGGAGCAGCTTCAAGGGAAGGGACCTGACAGCCATGGGGGGCTCAGGCCAGCACTTGTCGGGGGGCTGATTTGGAAGCAGTCTCTTCTGGAGTTGCAGAAAATAATCCTGAACATCGCCTGAGTCCCATGTTTGCACGTCACCCAGCTCCACATGGGTACACCTCCGTGCCTCCTGCACATGGACTGTTTCTGATATGACACTGGAAGCTGGGGCCAGGCTGTTGTGCAACCTTCCTCCTCTTCCTCACTGCTCCCCTCTGCTGCTGGCCAGCCGTGGAGAGAGGTGGTTCCTCAGCAGACACCTGAACGTGGCCTCTGGGAACACCCCGCAAAGCAGCCGATGCCCCGGCCAACACCGTCCCCAGCGCCTAGCCTGCTCCTGACGGCTACTGAACTCCAACACACGCTGGTTCGGGCCTGAATAGCCTGACCTAGAGCACAGCACTGGCTCTGGAGAACTTCCAGGATCAACACTGACTCATTATACTCTGTCAGTGAAACACGAGAACAGAAAAATGGAGGTGAAGGTTGAATGGCTTTAGAACAGCAGAAGAAACTGCTGGTGTATTTACTGCTTTTCACCAAAGAAATGAGAGCCCTTAATTCTCTATCCAGTACTATGAGCCACAGCAAGGATTATTTTTAGTTCTACAACATACAGGGCTTGTGGGGATGAAGGGTGACCCCTGGCTGATGATGTCCTCTCACAGGGGTGCACCCTTTGGTCTCCTAACCAGGAGGAGAGCATAGATTGTGGGTAACACCTAAGCAACATCCTCCATGCGCAGGATAATTGCATTTCAGGTTATTCTATTTATTGGCTGCCCTCTGGTCTAGAGGGCTGAAATTTCCACATTTTCCAAGAATGAGTTCAGGTCTGCATCTAGAATAGAGATCAGAGCACTGAACCGGCCCAGCCTACCCCACAAGTGAAGCCCCAAACATCTGTGGGTATGTCTGTTGCCCAGAACAGACATATGTCTGTTGCCCTGAATGGTGGGGTCAGCCCTTGGTTTACAGAACAGCAGCCTTGAGTGTGTCCCTGGCTGTCCTGGCCGGCTATCATACATCAGCACGACACCAGTGACACCAAAACCTAGCCGGGTGCCAGGCTGCATCGCAGTGATACCTATTCATAAATCAAGCAAATGCCTGGTTTTTCAGCCAGTGAACCTGTGTTCATCACCAGGGATAAATATGTGTAAAAGCCTCACTTACTTTGGATAAATGTTGTGCACCCATGAGAGGAGAAGGTAAATATCCTTGTCTTCCAGATGAGACTCAGCATTTTTCTTTGCCTGGGAGGCAAAATAATTGTGGTAGAGTTCTGCATATGTGCTGAACACATTAAACTCGGGAGGATAAAGCTGTTTAATGTACTTTACAACTACTGTCAAATCTTCTTTCATTGTCTTTCCCATGTGTAGGAGGTTCTGGCCAACCGTAGAGAGGTTCTCAGTTCTAGGCGTACGGCTTGTGTCTTTCATTCGAGTCTCTACCGACTCCTTTACTGTAGCCATCCAAAGCTCTTTCCATTTTCTAGGTCTAAATTGCATGTTTGGGTCAGGTGGATTCTCTGACATGTAGTTCTGATCTTCTTTCTCCTGCTCTTTCAGTGCCTCTACTGCCTGCTGCAGCAGTTCTGGGTTTGTTTTCGCTAACACTATGGAGTCTTTCAAGATGCTGAAGACTTTGTGTTTCAGAACCTCGTAGACAGACTCGATGTCTTGCTGGCTGGCATTCAGTCCCTCCTCACTTTTGCTAGACAGGCTCTTCTCCAGGACAATTAGATGCTGAGCGGCGTCGCAAAGCTTTTGCTCTTCAATGAGGTCCATGACTTGTCTGACTGGTGAAAAAAGAACAGCCTTTCTTTACACCCAAAAGTGAAGATTTAAATTTCTGTTTTACAAAAAATGATGGCTGTGGAATACTTTAAAAAAATATTTATATTTATATAATGCTAGATCTTAGGCTCCTTCACTGTATAGAAAATCTTTGTTTAAAGATCAGATTATTTCTAGTTTGCCTTTGAATGGGGCAATGGAAATTTGAATATCCATCATCAGTGTGTTACATATGGACATCTATTCATGAGCTACCTATATTTTTTTTCCAAAATTTACATTTGTGGAGTTTTATTTATTTATTATCCTCCTTCCCTTTAATATGGTCTCAAGTCAGAAGCATGGCTGTAGAAAAAAATGTAGATGCAAAGATGTGGCTATATAAGATGTGCTAGAGGAAATACCACATGGGTTTTCCAGAAATAGATTGGCACAACCTGACCTGCGAAATTTTTTTGAAGAACACATTTAGCAGGCAAGATAAATACAATGGAACTATCTTATCTGAACTACAGCCAGTTACTTGATACGGTGCAATCTGCGAAATTACTAGTTAAGCTGGAGAAGTTGTATCTCAAAGTCAGTTTTGTTAGGTGTGTAAGGTTTATATGGAAAACCCTGGGTGGAGAAAGCTTATATTATTCATGAAACTCATCTTACTTCATATTCTCCTTAGAGTCTGCAGCACAAAAGCTGGGAGTGCCCTATTGGCATCTGCTGATTACACAAAGTTCAGAGACATTATCGAAACCGAGGGCTTGGTGTATTATACGCGAACAACAGGCTAACTTGAATAGTAAATGGGTTGAAATTTAATAGCACAAAGTGTAAGATACAAATTCAATAGAACAAAAGTTACTTAGCAACAAATAGAATTTTCTGCTGCAAGCTGGATGTGAATCAGCTTGAGATGGAGAAAGAAGAGAGATGCCTGGAGAACTGGTAAATCATTACTGTGAGATGATGGTGAAAATGTCAGATATGACCCCAGGATGTATCCAGTAAGGAATGACCAGCTGAGATAGGAAAATTGTAACATATTGTACCAGGCATTGGTGGTATCTCATCTGGAATATTTTCTACAATTCTGATTGCTTTATTTCAAAAAAGACATTGGGAATGGCACAATGCAGCAGTAAGAACAAAGGCATGAAAGGCCTGTTTTCATTAGACTTGGTTCATTTAGCTGAGCAAATTCAAGGCCGAGAAGGAACACCACCAGTTAGGGAAAACATTTGACACACGGAGAAAGAGATGCTAATTAGCCAGGTAAAGACTTGCCTGGAAATGAGATAATTTGTACTAAAACAGTGAGACTTTATAAGATCCCCCCAGTAAAGGAGGTAGGACTAAAAAATAAACTTATTTTAAGTTACAGTTTTCTAAGTTTATGAACCAGATAATAAGATATGTCATCTGAGGTGGCAGGTGAGCCCTGGAAGGGCCAAGGGGCACTTTCCTCTCCAGTTCTGGGTTTCTCTGGGTTTCTCTTCCTCTCTAAGCACCCTGCAGTGATGGTGCCCATGACTGGAGGAGCTGTATGTTCATATATCAGCCCTGGGAAAGACCTATGTGTGCTGCTCCCTGCTGTCCCTGGGGGAAGAGGAGAGTTCACAGGGCGGTGGTTTCATGGAGGAACAGAGCAGAGAGGTATGCCTTGGCTTCTTGCCCACCCACAGATCTCTGTGTGCCCTCATTAAGGGGTTTTTTTCGGACAGAAACCCTGCAAATTGGCAGTTCCTCAAGGAGTGTGCCCTTGGTGCCAAGGGACTAGGACTTGAGGTCATGTCTCCCTCAGCCCATGTTTCCCCAGGCTCCTTGGCCAAGTCACTTCAATCTGTCGGTGCCCTTGTTTCTCAAGGGGACAATTCTCCCCCTTGTGCATCCCCTCTAGAGGTAACTATGGCCTATGAGGTGGTGCAAGGAGGATGGAGGAGCACTTACCACTGGGTGGCTTGATCTTTTTGATTTTCTTAAGTGCACTTGTAAGGATTCCCTTTATTCCTTTCTTCCCCTTTTCAGGGCTGTCCCCAGCAGAGGTGCAGCTCCCATTGCTTGTGATGGAAGATGCACGTGAGGGTCTGCAGGCTGCCTCTGGTCTTTCACTCATCTTCTCCTGGTCCCTGGACCAGATCTCGTCTCCAGAAGGTTCAGGACAGGCAGGGACTTGCTCAGCTACTGATGTCGAAGGGTTTTCAAGCTGCCTGTTTGCACCAATGCAACCCTCTGATCCATTGTGTATTCCAAGGGGACCACTTTGGAAAAAAGGTAACATTTTCATCATTTTCCTTCTAGCCTGTAAATTTCAGAAAGAACTGGTCAGATTATAACAGTTTGCATAAAAACTACCATGGCTCAATGTGGCAAAGTGTATTCCCGTTAAAAAAAAAAATTCTGGAATGACTTGTCCCTGAGTGGGTGGTGTGGGGAGTGTTACACATGTCTGGTATGAGCACAGCTCTGCAAGAGAGCTCCTGAGCAATGTCACCTCAGGTAACTGAGAGGATGGAAGCAGCTCTCTGGTCTTATAAATAACTTAGAGAAAATTGATGAGTGATTTTAAGGGTGATTCAGATGGGGTGATTTGAGACCTCGAGCTTGTCTGGATACAGGAGAGCAGGGCTCTCCCACGGGATGCTGTGGGAGTATGGAGGTAAGCGTGGATACTGCACATGAATGATGTGGGTGGGTGGGACAAGCATCCTGTGCCTATTCAAAGCAACCACAAAACTCCCAGACTTTTATATGGCATCAGGATCAATTCCCACCTTCCTCAGGGCCTGTTTTTGCTGATATCTGCTCATCTGGCTGCAGATCTGTTTGTGGAAGCACCCATGTAGCTTACTGTACGCTGAGTTTGTACAGCATGAAAATGAGATGAGCCTACCAAGCCAGGTATGTGTCAGTCTTTGCTGAGCAAAAGTCCTGATGGTTTAACAGTATGCCCTTTTAAGTCAGTAATAAAATTCTTAGTTTTATTGAGGAGAGTTCCCAGAGAAGGTGGCTGAGAGTTCAGAAACATTGGGGATGTGAAAATCATGGTCGAAAGGATGGTAGTATGGGAAGCACAGCAGTATCTCCTGATATGAGCATGACGAGGCTTATCAATTTAGGCCCCAAAATCCCAGTCAGAAGCATGGCTTCAATGCTCTCCGTGCTGCCCGCAGCCCTACAGTGGCACCCCCTACAAGCTCAGGGATGCCTTCAGACCCTTCAAACCCATTCACAGTCTATGTAATCTCATTTTCAAAACAGTCCTAGGGTGACTACGGCATCCCAAGCCAAGGCAACTTCAGCACAGCTTGTTGCAACTTCAGTGTGATTTGTTGGGTATTTTCAAATACCTGGGAGCAATTATTGTCCCATCTGTTGAGGGTCTGTAGTGTGGGCTGTGGCTCATGTAGGATGAAACGCTAGTGAAATGGGGTGGTGGAGGGGGAAGGTTCTGATAGCAGGGACTAACCAGATTGGACTTTTCCCAGAGTTGCTAAATGAAACTGGTGGTAGTGACCAGGGCTGCTGCATGTCCAGAGCAGTCCTCGCCTGGCTGAGGGGGAAATAAGAACAAGGATTGGAGTGGTTTCGCCTTGTTTAAACAGACATTATCCTGCCAGAGTCCTGCTCTACCATCAACGCTCCTGCGCTACAAATGATTAATGATAGAAATTTTCTATTGTAACAAGATCTTGTTAGAATTTATATTTAGAATTATTTATGTACATATATAATTTAATATATTGCTATAGATTTAGTTGCATAATTATATTCATTTATATAATGATTATAATTATATAATTATTGTAAATAAATAGAGCCATACTTTCCAATCCTTGTTCTAACAACACTTTTTTAAAGTGACTTCCTGGGGGACCAGTGCACTTCTGTATGATGAACTCTCAGGAGAGTTTTGGCTTACTTATACTGCATAAGGGCAGAGGAATTAGGCTTTAAATAAAGGAAGAATTTGGCTTCACTTAAGAGGCCACAATATGGTGACCTTCAAATACCCTTCTTAAGGCTATACTGTTGGTATGTATCATGCTGGTACAAACTGTGACACTTATTTCTGGGCAAACTGGTTGGAAGACTGTGGCTTTTTGTTTTAATTGTGATTCCTCCTGCTGGCTCCTGGCAGCTGGGAGAGCTTGGAAGCACCAAGTAAGCGGTAGCAGCCAGGGAGCATACAGAGTAGTTAGAGCCTGGCATTGCTGAAAGCTTTGCTTCTTCGTGGTTTGGCTGCCAGGTCATGTTCTGCGTTAGTAATGCTTTTGCTTTTAAAACACAACGAAGATGAAAATTCATTCAGGAAGGAGAGAAAGGAGGGGTGTGTGCGTGCATAATCTGGCTGGCTCTCAGCTAAACTGATGGGCTGTGCCCTGGGGCAAAAGGCAAAGCCAAACCTAAGGTGCTACCAGGGCCGAGTGGGATGGTGGTGGCTGCCAGGGGGGTCAGGTCGTGGCGTTGGGTCACTGCCCCGCAGAGCCCTCGTGCCCCAGGGCTGCGGGGCCGGTTGTGTGGGCGAGCACAGGGGGCCCGAGCCCCAGAGCTGCCCTGGGGCAGTGAGTCATGGCTGAAGCCATGCCCCTGCCTCTTCCCCCAAGCACACTGACTGGGGAGGGAGGAAAACCCCCCGTGGTTCACTTGGACTACTCTACTCATGATACCCCACTAGAATGCTAAAAATGGTGGAAAAGAGCTCCTTTTTGTTACATATCCATTACGAAAAAAAAATATCATGGTAACAGGGATTGTCTATAAGTGTTTGGGACTTTCCTAATTTTTGTAGGACTATTTTCCTAGCATGCCATTTCCCAATACGATGCTGTGTTTAGATTCGTTCTGCCAAATCTTTTCCTTCCTGTTTCTTCAAGCACAGACTCAGCCGAGTCCTTTCTCTCTTTCTCCTATTAATCCAAATAAAGCTTTTATTGTTTTGGTTTGGTTTATTACAGAGAAACCACCTCTCCCTTTCCCATAGAGAAAGGTGACTTTCAGAGTCTTTTGTTTCAATGAATGATGATCAGAAAGGTGGATTTCAAAATTATTTTGCTTCTTCTTCAATACTAAGATGAATGTCACGTATCTTTGAAAACCATTGAAAAGACACTACACATAAAAGGGTCCATAAGGCTAAAAGCTTAGTTTTTAACAGCTGGCAGAACTTTGTCCTCTGAAAGGGCCAGCCATGGGGGCTGGCGATGCCCAGGAGTGATGCAGGTATCTGGGCATGTGCTGCTGGGGGCTGCAGCCTGGACGAGCCCCTGGGGTCCTCTGCAGAGTGCACGGAGCCATCACCTGCAGCGCATCCCTATGCCCTGACCTGCCTAAAAAAGTCCTACAGCCAAATTAGAAGAAAGGTAAAATCAGTTCCAGCATTTTCTCCCAGGGGTTGCACATCAGCAGGGTGAGAACTGTTGGCAATATTGGCACGTCAGGGTGTGCTTTTTTGTCTTGAACTAATAAATACCGAAGGCGCCAAGCATCTGAGTAAGGCTGTCAATAGCTACCATGCTGACCCACATTTGGCCAGTTTGAATGCTCACCCAGTGTTTATCAGTTTGCCACTGCTGGTTTGCGTATGTTTGTATATCTGCAGCAGGAAATACCAGTAAACCCCAGCTCCCGGTTCTGCCTTGAAATGCAGCCTGAGTCACTTATGGCAAGTGGTACCAAAAACTGCCCCTCCATCTCTTCTCTTTATCATTACACGGCCAAGCGCTTACTGTAAGAAACATCTGTAAGAAACTTCCTATAAGAAACTTTCTTATAGAAAAAAAAAAACCAAAACCAAACACTTTCTACAAGAAACACTTAGCTAAAAGGAGGTGGCACTGGTTACAGCTGGAGGCCATGGGCAGGAGATGCTGTGCCAGCACTGCTTCTCGTCCCCCCCCCAGCATCCACTACTGCCTGCTGCGGCAGACACGACATGCCAGGAGCTCGGCTCTGGCTTGGATGGCAACGGTCTGCTCCTGTATGCCTGACTTCTGCTCACAGACCTTGTTAAAACTCCAGCAGGCTCCTAGTTATTTTAGCAGTTAATACTTTAGGAAAGGCTGAATCATTTCCCAGGCACAGAGCTCAAATTCAAGTCTTGGGAAATTTGATGATTTAAGGTCAAGATTTGACATAGATCCCAACTCACTATTATTACTAATTTACTGTTAATTTACTACTATCATCATCCTCATTATTGTTATGCAGCAGTATAGTTTGTGCCAGGGGAGTCTTTAGCGGCAATTATTTTTGACATAGTATATTGAGCTTATGGTTTCTGACTAGAAGAGCAGCACAGCTCGCATAGCATGCCCTGCTACCCTATAGAGAGGCCCTGTACCATTAGGACAGCGGTGCTGTTGAACACCAGCATGACTGGAGAGGGACCCAGGGAGGTCTCCGCAAGGTGCTGATCATGGCACGTACCTCCAGGCTGGAGCTTTTCCAGGGTGGGCAGCAAGGGCGAGGGAAACACCTGGAGCAGTACCACAACACAGAAGGACACAACTTGGACTCTGGGCATGGTGGCTTCCCATTTTCTCCTTTTCCCTATCAAAGGAAACAGCTTTCATGCTGCACCCTTAGGAATGAGCTCATTCGTGAGCTCATGGCATGCCAGAGAGCACCCAGGGGATAAGATTTAATAATTATTCCTATTCTGAATTTTTTTGCTGATCTTTTTCTTGACTTCTTTTTCCTGAGCTGCTGCCAGTATTAACAAGCGTTTGTTTGGATTTTTAGTCCTCTCCAGCCTGCTGACTTCCTAGGTCACAAGGATTTATGTCTTGTTTTAGTGGAAATCCCCCACTCTCCCATAGCCTCTCAGAAATCCAGAGTTATTTAGCACAGTTGGCTCTCTGTGTTTGCCTCAGAGTTTTCTCCCCCCATCCACTCCTTGTGGAAGTGGGGTCACCCCTGCCCACACGAGAAAATCGCACTGGGTCAAACCATCTTTTGAAGCCGTAAAGCAGTGCAGCCAGTCAGAGTCTAGTGCTCTTCAGACTGCGCAGTGACACCTAAATAAGCTGCTACTAAATCAAAGCAGAGTCTATGGAGATGCCAGCCCAATCTTTGCAAGGTGTGATGCCCTCCTAGTGGGTGGTTTTTTTCCTACTAATTTTCGTTAGCTGGATTGGGTACTAAATGGAGACACCATGAAGTTGAGGGCTCCTGCTTGGCTCTGCCTGGGAAACCACATTCCATAGACAAGTTGGGCCATCAATAGCCCCAGCTTGAAATTTTACTGTGCTGCTCAAATCCATGCTCCTGTCTGCAGACCCCTATGGG